CAATGATGGTGCCAACTTGGGCCAGTGAAGCGACGTCCTCCACAACTAGACTGAAGAACAAAAGGACAGCAACTTGTCTGTTCCCCTCCCCCAATTCTCCAGCGCTGTTCCCATCCCCCCAATTTCCCAATAAAAATCTTTAAAAAAAAAAGAATCTCTATTTTAACAAACTCTCCAGGTGACTCTTAGGCATGCTAGAATTTGAGAGCTCCTGCCCCAGAGTGTCAGATTTCCCATCTTCATCGTGCACACCACCCCTCAGTGCACAAAGTTTCTCCATAAATGTCTGTGGGCCAACTGTTATGTGCCTGGTCCTCTTAGGTACTGGAGATGTGGGGGACGCTTTAGGGGGAGGATGGCAAGATCAGGTGAGTGCGAGGTATTAATGGGACATGCAGGTGATGACAGCCTGCAGGACACTAGATACACACGCTGAGTCTCGGAGAGAGCTCTGAGTTGTGGAGGTATTTTGGAAGTCGTCAGCATACAGATAGAATGATTAGATGCCCGAAAGTATGAAAAGAAACTCTCAAGACCCGTGTGAAAGTGAGGGTGCTGTGGGGGCGTGCCTTCTGACCTGAAGCCATGCGTTCTGATGAATCTGGCCTGGGGAGCCCTTTTGCCTGGCGTTGAGATGACATATGGGCTTTTTTTTTTTCTCTCTGCAGACTGTGGCCATCAGGGCAAGGGTGTGACTCATTTTTTGTCCCCGGACAACAAGAGAGCATTGCTCTTGGAGCCTCTTGGGATGGTTTCATTTGTAGGGTGTCTGCCTTCTTTTGGGGTACTCCTTCCTCCTCCTCTCTAGGGGACAGTACGGGACCAAGAGCTGATGGGAGTGGGCAGAGATGACCCTCATTTGCAGTAATCGTGGGCAAGTTGGTGTACTGGAGACCGCCACTCCGCGTACCAGCACCAGGACCCCGGGCTTTGCAGAGTCAGGCTGCAAGGGGCGGGCCTTCGGCTGCTGCAGTGCCAGAGAACTTGATCCTGGGTTTGTTTTTGGAGAGTGAATTCCGGGATCTAGAACTGCACTGTTCAAGCTCTTGCAACCTGAACCCCAGGCCTGCCTCCCATGGTTTATGGGCAGTCTGTTTGGTAATCAAATGGTTAATAAAATCCAAGCATAGGTTGGAGGGAATGGATGCGTCTATACACCATTCTTCTATTAGAAGCAGCAGACCTTTTCTGGGGAAAAGGAAGTGCTTGCCATTGTTAGCTCCCGAGCTGGAAAATGCTTTGTGATTAGGACAGCTTAGAAAAATATTTGCTTTAGTTTCCTAATACTTTAGCTGTCTGTGGCCTCTTGCCACTTGACCATCCTCAAAACTTTGTCAGAGTGATTTGGCTTCTGACTGGTCACTAGGTCCAGACCAAAGTGCAGGAGGTGCCAGGATGCTGTCCTGAGGTTCCACAGTGGACTCCTCTCAGCCTGTGCTCTGTCTCCCAAGTGGCCCTGAGAGCCAGCTGACCATTCGCCTGGGTGCTGCATGGACCCTGGCCTCAGCTCGCGGTCCCCTGAGGAGGTAGGTCTCTGCATTGTGGCTGCATGGAGGTGGCCTGGTTTGTATGTCTCTGTGTGTTGTGGTGTGCATTGGGGAATCCCAGCCAGGGGCTCCCTCTCATGGGGACGGGACAGTGTCTTTCTGTCCCCGCTTAAGATTTGTCAGCAGACAGTTGCCAGCAATCATGGGGCAGCAGAGGGGTGCATCGATTCCTACAGACCACCCCTGCCACAGGGAAACAGGCAAAGCCAGTGTTCATAGCAGCAGCTTTTACTGGGGGACAGCTGTTCTTAGTCGAGACCCTGCTCTTAGGCCGTTTCCCACGGTGAGCGAAATATTTATCCACTGCTCTTCCCCAGCTGGTAGCTGTGGGACACTTTATGTCTTTTGTGACCTTGACTTTGGATTTCAAACAAGCGGATCCACTATTTCGCCCTTCTGTAGGGACTTAATTAACCCACTGGTTTTGTCATTTCAATTACAGTAGCCCAATTTAACCTGCCCTCCCCTCCCCCACACCCCCAATACTTTGAAATTACTCTCCTTGAAAGTTGTATGCAAGGCACGCCTTCAGCCCTGGTGGGCAGTGCTGGCGCTGCTCCTGAGCCAGCAGGGAGGCCCAGTTACGGTTCCTGCTGCACCTCCTTTGAAGGCAGCGCCCCTTGCCCCCTGTGGTTATTGCCCCCTCAAAGCACTTTAAACTCCTCAGCCTGCACCCCACCCTGCTGCTGGAAGGGCCTCGGTGGAGAGAGGTCTGAGCTCTGTTAGTTGAGTTTTGATTTCAGTACAGGAGTTGATAAAACGAGATAAACCCCAGGCTCACAGGGCGGGGGAAATTAAACAGAGATGATATCAAAGTTCCCCTGAGTTTTCAACTGTGATACAGTAGCTTAGTTTTCTCCCAGGCTGGGGCCGGCGCGCCTTTGATTCTGAAACAATGTTCAGCATCAGTTAAACCCAGCACTGCTGACTTTCAGGGATTAAGCACACTGTTGTAGTCATTCTTTGATCAGCTACAAGGGAGCAGTGTGCTGTCTGTATGAAGGGGCTTTATAGTTAAAGTTCATTTCTCTGTGAACCCGGGATGACAGCACTGGCGAGGTGCTGCAGTGCTGGAGCTGGGGCCTCCCCCAGGCACTGTTTGCAGCATTGCAGGCAGAAGCAGGAAGCGGGGGTTTCTCCCACCCAGCGTTCTTGCATAGTGTTCATCCAACATGGCATGAAAAAAATCCTGGCTTGGAAAACACACCACACCCTAACTGACCCCATCTAGTCCTAGTAAATACATGGAGAATGTGTGCGTGCACGCGCGCGCACACACACACACGCGCACACACACACACACACACACACACACACACACTCTCACACCTTGTGGAGAAATCCTCCTGGGGCAGGCAGCCCAGGAACAGCTGCCCAGAGCCAGGCTGCAGCCCCCAGCCTGCAAATGACCTAGCAGAGCCTGCAAATGACCTACCTTCACATTGGGGGGTAGAGATTGGGATGGGGATTGAGATCAGATGACCTGCTATGTGAAATTAGGGGGACTAGCTCAAGGTCAGTGTTGCTACTGCACTCTCCCCATGCCCAAGAGATGTGACCCCCAGGTGCTGCCACCACCTTCATTCTTTACCTGGCACTTACTGCGAGCCCACTCGGTTTCAGGTTGGCTCAGTCCTGTAGTTCTGAGTAATCTCAACCTCTGTCATTTTACCATTTGAAATACTGGGTCAACTTTTGGCTTTCACTCTAGAGACCCTCCTTGCAGCCACAGCTGGGAAGGTGGAAGTTTCCCAAATCGCTCCCCCCTCCTCCGAGTTGGCCCTGCGACTTGCAGTTGGTAATGGAGCCCCTGTGTGCTGTCGATCGCGCTCACACCGAGCCATACATCAACCTATTCCCTCCTGTGCAGTGCTCAGATCTCCCTCATTAGGCCTAAATTTACCTCGGTCCTACACAAACATGGCCTTAGCTCATTTTTATTGTTGTAAATTATTTATGAGGGAAATGTTGAATCTTGAAATGGAGGTGTGAGGAAAATTAATCCCATGTTACTTTTATCTTTCTATACTTTTCTCCTCCTCGTTTACTCATTGGGCTGTGGCTAGAGAAAGAAGAGCTTTGGCATTTGAAATATAATTAGTGTTGAAACTGCTCTTTCAATCTAATAGCGGATGGATGTTGCGTTGGCCTCCCCCTGAACAGTGTCATGGAAAGCAGACTGGGGGGTGGGGACTGGAAAGAGGGTCAGAGGTCCCTTTCTGCTCCGCCATCTGCCAGCTGCATGGTATCTGGGAACTCGGGGCCTCAGTTTTCCCTCCTCTAAAACAGGGATAATGTGACCAGCCACCTTCCAGGTTTCATAGGAGCGTTGATCAAGGATCCTGAGAAAGCTTTTTGATAATTGCAAAGCTCTCTGCAAATGCAGCGGAGGTGTGTTAGTGTGTTTTGTGTGCACTTAGGATTTTCACATAGAGGTGAGTGCTGGTGAGGAGCTGCTCGGGGGCTGGGGGTGGGGGGAACCAGGAGTCCTCGCAAGTAGGCCCTGGTGTTTTATGTTTTAGACCGGTATCACCTCTTGCCAGACAGGTTAATGCTGGTCCTAAACACCCTGCCCACCTCTGCTCGCTCCCCGGGCAGATCTGCTCCGCAGGCCAGCTTTAATGGCCTCTTCTCTCCTTCGCAGAGGCCTGGCCTGTGACCCTGGGCGGCTGAGTCCTCGGAGGTGGCATCCCTTCTGGCTCCAGGCTCCATACAGCCCGGGAAACGTGGCATGCTAGTTAATAAATGGCCTTTTGTTAGGAAGGTCAATTGAAGTGACGGTAGAGACGCTGTTAAAAGTAATTTGCAGTCAGAAAATATGTAATTCAGGGCAAGCTGCTTTGAGTGATTGCCTCTGCCATGGATATCTTGGGCGTTTCTCATTAAAAGCTTCCTTTGCTGGTGGTGGTGCTGTTTCCACCACCGAGCTGGCCTCAGCCCCGCGTAGTAAGGAGTCATTTGTCTGTATTTCACAAAGGCTGCCTCGATCCCCAGGGTACGGCAACTGGGGGGAAAGGAAAGAAGAAGGCACGGAAGATGCTCCGTGCTAATGCTCTGCTCGGAGCATCCTCCCATCCTGCAGGCTGGGCTGTAACCAGCACTTACGGGCACAGGCCCCGGGCTCCTTTGTCTGCCTCAGCTGGAGGCAGCCTGCAGCCATCTTGGAACCTGCTGCTGGGCTGCTTGTCTGGTGCATTGTGGGAGCAGCATCGTTGCTTTAAGAGCGAATTTACCCGACTGCACGTGATAGCGTGCTTCAGAGCAGAAGAGAGCCATTGTCATCAGTACCTCATGGAGGATATTGTAACCCAAGGACGTGAATCTATCAGCAAATAAAATATTTCTTCTTTATTCCCCTGCTTACCTCCCCCGCCCTCTCTCCTAGACAGTAGAGGCAGTACTACTATCTTAATAAAAAGAAAAAAAACTTACCTCGCATGTTCTTTATTAAATTCACAGCATGATATTTTAGCACTGGCAGAATTCGTACATTCTCTTAATGAGTTGTTAATTGCAAAGCATTTTGGTAACCAACAGCAGGTACCAATATTTTGCAAACGGCAGCAATGTTATTGTCATGTTACCAATAATACGGGATTTTCCAAGTGAAGATACTTTTTTGATCAGTGTTTGCTTTGGATTAGGCTGGTGCAGGTATTTAATTCGGAACCTTGTTGATTGGGGGTGTGCATGTGTATTCATTCAATAAATTATTTACTTAATGCCTACTGTGTGCGGGCAGCCCCAAGCCCTGTGCTTTATGCAGATCAACCTGCCTGGTAGATGAAATTCGAAAATAGAAAATGATACAGTGATGCTGCGTGCTATCCTATGGCCTGCCCTGGGCTTCTAGAAGCTTATTTTCAGTAGAGTTAAGTAAAGCATAACTTAGTTTGGCCTTTGCCATAAACATAGAGCTGAGCGGATGGGTCCTGCCAGGTGCTTCCTAGCCTTGATTGGAGACTTGACTCTATTGCATTGACAAGTCTGTTTCCGGAGCTTTCTGTGGGGGCCAGGGGACGCTGGTCACATGAGTGGCTTGCATAGGGCATTTTGGCTGTTTTTGTTTAGGAGACACAGTCATAGTTAATGGCCTCTGCCTGTTCTGATTCGAGGCGGAGAGCTAAGCTGCTTCCTCCTGCTTGCCTAGTGAGGCAGGGCGTTTGGTTTGCTTTAGAAGCAGTAACCAGCCTTGAGAGACCTGGCAGACCTACAGCCAGTGGAATTTAATTGCTGCAGAAGGAGGTGGAATTTAACTTGCTCTTTTTCACTGCTTGTCCTTTTAAAAGTACTAAAAGTCATTTACATAAGGTGTTCCCTTTTTTATTTGCTTTCTGGTGCACTCACTGCCACTCCAGCTGCCCAGACCCAGTGCTCTCTATATAATACTTGTCTCCTCTGGTCACATCAAGAGGCAGTCAGCAGCAGAATAATAATTCCATTTTCCCTCCCTTTCTCCTAAAGTGTCCAGCAAGAATTATAGTCATTGTTAATGTTTAGCTTTGAGTAAATGCCCACATGACCTGCGGGATTAAACCCAACAAAGGGACCTGCCAGTCCTCTTGGGAATGGCGCCTACCATGTTTCTGGTCAGGTACACTGCACTTGTGTACCCCAGAGCCCGCCAGTCTCATCTGCCTTTTGTTGAGTGCCTGCCGGGTGCCAGGGACCTTACCAGGCCATTTGTTTACATGACTCTTAGTTTTCACAACAGCTCTGCAACTGTCGATATCATGACTCCTTGCTTGCTCAGTCTCCCCAGCTAGTGAGTCGTGGACATGGACTTGAACGCCGTTCCTTTGCCTCCATGCCCAGAGACTTTCTTCCATGTGTTTGTTTGCAAAGCTCTGCCAACTGAGCAGTCCACCCTTGGTTGTGGTAGAGGCTGTGGGTTTGGAAGTCTGCACCTCCATAAGGAAAAAGTATCAGAGAGAGAAATGCAAGGTAGGGTTAGATTTAGCCGAGTCTGATTATCCTCAGAGAACCTACTGGTATCTATTCAGAAGTCAGGCAGCTGGGTGGGAGATTTGAGAATGGTTTGCTTTTGGGTTTGAGTCAAAATTACCTACTCAGAGCCGGGACAAGCCCTCAGTAACTATGTCAGCTCAGTGTTCAAAGCTAAGCTGAGACGAGCAGAGCCCAGCAATGTTTTGAATTCTTGATCTAAGGAAAGGGTCAGAGAAGGTCAGGGCTCCTTTAGCCAGTTCAGGTATACAGAGCTTAGCTCAGGACCTTCACCTCAAGAGCCTGGTTCTATATGCTTGGGACTTTGCATCGTTCACTTTCAATGTAGTTTGAATTTTGTGCTTTCTTTTCCCTTTTCGGAACCAGGACCAGTCCACCATGCCTGAAGTCAAAGACCTTTCGGAAGCCTTGCCAGAGACGTCAATGGATCCCATCACGGGAGTGGGGGTGGTGGCCTCTCGGAACCGAGCCCCGACGGGCTATGATGTAGTAAGTCAGGACACTACTTTGTACCCTTTGTCCACTGATTCAACAAATATTTGTCTCCTGTGTTCAAGACCCTCTGAACCTTGTGTGTAAGATGTGTCTCTTTCCTCTAGGAACTTAAGCAGGGAGGGAAAGCATCACCCATGGGAAGGTGTGGGGAGTGGCCTGGTTTGGGAGTCAAAAGACCTGAGCCCCTTCTGGGCTGTTTCCATGGCTGAGTCCCTTAACCTCTGTGATGCTCATTTTCATCTTCTCTAAAATTAAGGGGTTGGATTAGTTAATTTGCAGTCACTTCTAGTTGTGACATTTCATGAAAAGGATCCAACAGTCTGGCACACCTTTGGCGGTCGTCATAGATTGTCCTACAAGAATAAAGGCATCAGTGTATCGCCATATATTTGTACATCTCTTTATAGTTTACAAAGCGGTCTCCTACCCATGAACTCATCTAGCTCTCAACTATTGCCCTGGGAGGGCAAGGGGCCTTATCTCTACTTTGCTGACTAGGAGAGCCCAAGCTCCGAGAAGTGAAGCGACAGAGTCCCCACCTGGGGAGTGGTGAGCCAGGACCAGACCCTCTCCCAAGTCCAGGCTCTGACTGACCACACCAGCACAGCTTAGCAGAGAACTTGCCTTGCTTTTCAACAGTCATCTGTATGGTGTTCAGTAGTATTAACGGCTGGAATTGGTTACTTGGTTGTTTCAATAAATAAATTTTGATTTGGGTGGAACTTAAAAAATGCAGAGTAGTATTAGGAGGGTTTAATAAACAGTCACCATCGTCGGAGAGTCTAAAGAGGTCTTATTTGCACTTTCCTCATTTTGTTTATGACAGCGTTTCATTCTTGTGCATTGAAAGTCTCTACCAAGAATACATAAGAGTAAAAGAATGAATGTGAGTCTTGGTAACCAACACTGAAAAACCTGCCGTCGTGATGAGATTAGTGTCTGATGTCCCAGGGATGGGAGGGATGCGATGCCTTGTCCAGAAGGAGCCCGAAGGTGGGATTTCTCAACCTTGGCACTGTTGACATTTGGGGCCAGATAATCAGATAACTGTGTTGTGGGGCTGCTGTCCTGTGCATTGTAGGATGTTTAGCAGCATCCCTGGCCTCTATCCACTCAATGCCAGTAGCATACGCTCCCGCCCCCGCTCCACGAATTGTGACAACCAAAAATGTGTCCAAAAATTGCCACATAGCTTCAGAAGGAGGGGGCGGGCAAAACCAGCCCCCACTGAGAACAGCGCAGTATGTATTGGGTCAGCTAGTCTGGGTCCTGTGTGAGGAAGGAGAAGCCTGTTAAAATGGTCCACATCACTTTCCCAACTGTTTGAAAGCTCATAAACATTTTAAAAGCGAAAGAACGAGGGAATCTTTTTTGACAAAGATTTGAGCCTTACCTGCTGCCTGACTTCAAAGCACTGTTTGAATGTATAACTTGCCATAAAATAGAATCATTAGGCATGGCTTTGTGCCATAAAACTCTTGAGGAAGCTAATAAAACTTCCTGATTTGAGAAGCCAAAGTGTCTTTTGATGAATTAGATATGAAGCAGCACGCAGTGCATTGGGGCAGGGCTGGGTGCTCAGGGTCCCTGGGAGGACTGGCCACGGGGTTCCTCTCCTGGTTGGGCTCCCTTGGGGGGCTCACACCCAGGGCATGGGTCTCCCCGTCTTCTTGCTGTTCTCTTTTGTTGATCTGTGTCTTTCACATTCTGCTTGTACCTTCGGGGTCATCTTGAATGCCTGGCTCGTGGGCGGCAGCTGGCCGTGGATAGTCGGGTGTTTTGAAAGTCTCGGTAAGTGTGACAGGAGCAGCATCTATCCCTATCATTTTCTTCTAACATCTAGCTCAGGGCAGAAGAGCGCAGTGTCAAATGAGTCAAATTAATGAGCACATTTCATGATTATGCTGTGCTCTGTATTATGGTGAGAGGTGAGCAGGGCACGAGGCTCCGGGGGTCAGCCCGGCAATTACCCAGCCTCCGCGCCGACATGGAGGGCGGCTGGGCTCCCTCGGAAAGCTTTCTGGGAGAGAGCTGGAGTCATCTCGTCGTTCTGACCGCTGGACTCTTCTCAGAGAAGCATCTGGTTCCCCAGAGGTCTGACCCGAGTTCAAGGAGAATGGGGGACGGAGACCAGCTCCCCGTTCCCTTTCTCCAGGGTTTCACGTGAAGTCAACATCCAAACTGAAACATAAGGCGTTTTATGGTAGCCACCGGGCCGCAGACATGATTAGACGGGACTGCAGTGGCTGAGGAAGGCCTGTCACATGTGCATTGTGGCGAGGCCACTCTGTCACATCTGCTGTAGGAGTAATCCCTCCCTGGGCACAGCCACCGTAAGTACGGTGACCACGCTGACCCAGGGGAGCACAACCACTTTAAAATGAGCATCAGCCCTCTTGCTGTTTGAAGGAAAAGATGCCAAATGTTTGCTGATAAAAATTTAATTTTATAACTTCTCTCCAGGTCAGGGGACGCTTCTTAAACTAGAGGGCTGGGGGTTATTGGCTTAACTTCTCCATGTATTGTCTCGATTTCTGCAGTCCACTCTGAAATAGCCCCCCATTTCCATTCCACAGCCACACTCTCAGGTCTTGGAGTGAGCACTGGTGACCCTCCCTGCCATCAGGGTGCGTGGGTCTCGTGTGTCCCTGTGACGCCACAGCGCCTGGTATAATGATGCTTTGTTGTAGTTGCCTAGTGTTTGCCAACGGTCATACATGCTGTTTTGTCATATATGGATGGTCAGTTTCCAGTGAGTCATAGTGCCATGGAAACACTTCATGCTGAAACTCCTGTGCTCAGAATTAACCTTTGGTTTCCAAGTCACTCTGGGATAACGCAGTGTCTAAGGACATCAAGCTGGACATCACTGATGACCACTGCTGGGTGCATTTCCAGGGAAGTACAGCCTACCTTTCACCTAAATTATTTTGCCTTTCTAAACCAGTGTTTACAACTCAGAGACTAAAGCCACAACACTGTATTTATGAGATGACGCTTTCTTTCCAGAAAGGAAATTTCTTTCCTTGATAATACAGTTTTTAGTAATGTACTTTCACATGATAACATACTTTTTGGGGGCAAAAACAAAATAAAAAGTAATACAGAGAAAGAATAACCAAACATTCCAGAGTGTTTTAATTTATTTTTATTTTTTTTGGTAGAGGGCAGTGTCACTGGCCCTCATATGTGGGATCCGAACCGGGGCCCTCTGGCATCCCAAGCCAGCTCTTAACCATCGCACCACTCTGCCGGCCCTAATTTAAAAATTTTAATGTATCCAACCTATTCTTTGAGTGCCAGCTAGGAGCTGGGGATAGAGTAGTGAGTGAAATCATATACTAATCCGGCTGTCATGAAACCTGCACTCTAGAAGGGGAAAAAAGACAATTAAATGATCCCACAAATAAATGTAAAATAGAATTGTGGTAAGTGCTTCGAAGAGAAGTCCTAACAGGCTATTTTATCTTTCAGATCTTTGCAGATCTATCCGTTTCTCTTGCTACACCCCGGGTTATGACAACACGAACCCCCTGCTCCAGCTTACTGGTAGACACCGCCCCTCCCGTGCCCTGAGACCTGCCAGTGTCTCTATTCTTACCGGCCCAGCCTCTGCCTTACCTTTGGCTGCTGTCATTCTTCCTACCCCAGAATGGTGTTTAGAGCTGCCACCTGCGGAGTCCCGGCCAAACTGAGGCTGCGCCCCAGGAAGACTAGGAGATCTTTTCGCTTCTCCCTCACTCCATTTTAAGGCCTCCTCCATTCCCTCCCTGAGAAACCTCATCCTACACATGGGAGCCTTTCTGGCACAGTGACCCAGAAGTGACGGATTATTCCCCGGTTCAGTGACTGTTCCCAGACGGCCAGGTGGGGGGTGCTCCCGCCTTTGTGGGCCTCAGTCCTCTGGAGGGCCCCATGGCCCGAATTCCTGCTGCGGTGGGTCTCGGGTAGGACCTGGGAATGTGCATTCTAGCCAGTTCCCAAGTGATGCTGATGTTGCTGGTCCAGGGCCCACATGCCGAGAACCACTGTCTAAGTGAAGTCATTCTGAAGTAGCCTCTGCGTGGAGCTGCCTCAGGGCTGCCTCAGGAAGGGCTGTGCTGGCCTTTCCTGTTATTTTTCAGCCTCTCTTGATTTAGGTTTCAGAATGTCTCTGGGGATGTGTGTGTATGTTTGTGAGGTTTTTTTTTTTTTAGAAACATATTTTTAAAATGGGGTGATAGTATTCATACTCTTGTAATTTTTAAAATAATAATATATTGTGGGTACAGGTCTATATCAATCCATATAGATATATGTCATCCTTTTAATAATGCTTATTTTATTATCTGGCTGTACCAAAATTTGGCTAATAATCCCATATTGAAGGACATTTAGTTTGTTTCCATTTTTTGTTTTTAATAGGATTTTTAAAATCCTTGTGTATGTGTCCGTATCTTGGCATGGTTAGCGCCATAGAGTAATTTTATAGGTTAGAATTACTGGGTCACGGTATTCACATTTTAAATTTGATAAATATTGCCGATTGCCTTCCAAAAAGGTTGTGATATTTTGTCAGTTTCCATTCCCACTCAAGTGAGTGCGAGTAAAATACATTTTGGGGGGCAGGGAGTCCCTCTAGGCTTTGCACCCAACTTCGTGACACTCTGGTACTTCTCACAGCCAGGCATAACTCTAAGGGCAAGGGCCTGAGTGATGATATGCACACTTCTTTCAGTGGTGGCCGTGAACCTTCTCCCCGAGAAGCTCCTCATGTGTGATAACCAGATACAGGACAAAAGTCCATATTCTTTCATTTGGCACACACCTGACTTCAGTGTATCTCCCTGTCTTATTTCTGTTCACTTCTTCTCTGGCTACACTGAACCTCTCATTTTCTCATTTTCAGAGTAAGGATGAACTTTGTACCACCAAACTGTTGAGCCTACTTTTACCATATTTCCAAGATTCTTATGCCCGTCCTGTTTTGGTAAAATTTTACTCGTCCTTCCAAA